AAAATGTAGGGTGTCTGCAGAGGCTCCAATAGATTCAATATATCGCCAGAACACTTCGTGACACGACTATCGTCAAACCTAAACCAGTCCGTTTCGTCTTTGACCAAGGCATAACATTGACCAAATTCAACGCCAGAACCACAATGAACAATGACTGCATGAATAGTATAATAGTGGTCTGCTAGATTGAAATGTTCATCTATTTCGAACCTTCCAAAGAGTTTCGTTTCTTTTATTTTTATCGTTGTTTTATGATTTCCACAAATAAATAGATTGTTTTTTGTATTTGCCGTGTATTATGATCATGAATTGATTTGATTTCGTTGAAACATAGTACTGAATGTTTTCTTTATTATTCTTCACATAATAACCAAGTTATTATTTTCGTAGCTTCTTGAAATTCGAGTTTTTCGGTATCTAGGGTCGAAATCGATTTCTAAGTAACTTTTACAAATGAATTATTTCGGTATCATCAACGCGAAGCAAAATATCTAGAATTTGCTCTTTTCGCAGAAACGCAGTAGGCTGGATTTAAGGCTGTCACCCGGGATAAGTATTGTAAAAAGTGTGACCCGTGAAAGTCTACACCCGTAACAAAAATCAAATATCGGCTTTCAAAAATGACTGAAATAGAGAGGTGTCTTATCTTAAGTGTGTCATACTGTATTTTTTAAGAATCTTCAGAACTTCAGATAAGCTAATTCTGAATTCATGATATTAATAATGGCGTTACTTACCCAAACTTTTTTTGCAGGAGGTGCTCGGAGCAGAAGGAATATCTCTTCAGTTCAGACATATTTGCAGTCACCTTCTCTGGTGTTGCGCTTCTCCAACCTGTTCGAAAACCCACGGAAAAGAAGATTCCGACACCGATATTGCTTATCAGGATCTTCTGCATCAAGTTATAATAGTCACTGGTTATTTTGCTATAGAAAACAACGAAAACCAGGTGAGCTTTGGTGACTGCAATTTATTTTAGAAAGTCCTATTCACATTTTCAGTCTGGCAGCAATATTTTCAAATGATTCAGCCTTCATCCATAATTTTTTAATCACGCCGTTGGGAATATTGTGACGAAAAAAATATGTACCTAAGGTGTTAGTTTGTATGTTCAAGAAATGCGCGAATTATTTTGTTCTGCACTGATGCTCTCACCCACGGGAAGACTTAGGGCTGAAACCAAAAATAGTCTGGGTCACTAGATCCCTTTTTTTTGGAACTCAGGGCTCATTCGATTCGGAATGACCTCTAGCAACTTTTTGAAAAATTTCAAGAAGGATTCGGAAAAATTGCACAGTTTTATAAAAAAAATGAGGGGTTTGGTTTTTTGCAAATATCTCGGAAAATAATAAAGATATCCAAAATCTGAAAAAAAAGGTCCTTAAAGAGGAGAAAATTTTACAAAAAAAGTTCTGCCTCCCGGAACTCTTATCGCCAATATTCATAATGTTAATTTAGAGGTGAAAATCGCGCTAGAAGCGGGCGATGCGCGTCCCGCGCGCGCTGACTGACCTTTGAACAATAAAAATTATTTCAACCCATTGAATATCATTATTAAAATAAAAATTCACAACCTCAAATTTTGTTCACTTCTTGGAGCTTTTCATCAATGGAAAAATATTTTCCCGTGAATATTTTATTAGATATACTTCAGTTAAGTAACTAATTTTTGCAAGTTTCAAATTTACATAAAAACCCTAATAATTTTTAAACTAAAATCTTCAAATTTTGTTCACTTCTTGGAACTTTTCTTGAAAGCCTTCAAAGAAGATTCCCGTCGGAAAATTGAAAAATTTTGATCTTCCACTTTGTTATCAATAATGAAAACGTTAGAAAGTGAAAAATTCAATTAAAGCAATGAAAACGTTTTTTTCAATATTCAAATTTATGCGTATTCTTATCATTTTCTCTTCAGCCAATCATAAAACTCGGTTAGTAAAAATTATCCAATACGAATTGCCAATTCTACAGTTCATGTGGACTAGCTCGCAGCCGGTTCATTTCCCTGTATTGGTTTTTTTGCCTTTGAGAGTGCCGCCAACTTTAAGCGTGCACAATATCGTTCACTTCGACTATACCAGTAGAGACGTGCATTCTGTTTTATCTCGTTTACAGCCTACTTGATCAATGTGTGCGTTTCAAAGTCTACATGAAAAAAACCTAAAAGCTCTGTATTTCAAAGATGACAAAAAGTGTACAACATTTTTGGAAAGGTAATTTCTAGCTCTATCGAAATATGCAGGAATATACAGGTTGTTTGCGGTATCTCAGAAAATGATAAATATCGATATGCGGTTTTCACCATTGAGTTTGTCATGAAATTTGACCCTCAATCACAGCCATCACTTTTCATCTATCTAGTTCGAAAACCGAAATTTCCCTTCGAAAGTGTCCAATTTGGCCTTCTCTGTACATTTTAGTATGAATAGTTCACCATTAATGTTATCCCAGTAATTCAAAATAGCTTCGGTTGTTGAGTGAAAGCTCATCTAAAAAGATGTGTTATTCTCCATTCACCTGGACAAGTAATGAAATTAGCTTCATTAGCAGACCATTGCTTTAAGAGTAAAATTGTCATTGAATTGAAAACATTTTTAGTTACGCAAACCTTTACCAAATATAAAATTTCCTGTTTGAATATTGGATTGCCGTGGTTTCTTCCTAAGAGGCGCTCAGCCAACCCAATTGTTTCTATTGGCGGACCTTCTTTGGAGTATTGTTCTCATGTATGGAGCTCCGCCAATAAACATAGCCTGAAGTTGCTGGATTCCATCCAGAAAAGAGCCATCCGCCTGATTGGATACGAGAATATCACTTGCAACCTTGATAGTCTGGAACATCGAAGAAAGTTTGGGGATTTGTCTCTCTTCAATAGATACTTTCACGGGAAGTGTTCAAGTGAATTGGCACATTTGATTCCACCAAGAGCGGTACATATCAAAAATACGCGACGGACTGTGGGTGCGCATCGTTTTGGGGTTCAACTCAGTACACCTCGAACTTCCCTGTTCAAGAACTCTTTCTTCTGGAGAACTGCGTTTATGTGGAATAAGCTTCCTGAGAAAGTTTTTCCAAATGGATTTGATCTCCAGCGATTCAAATCCAATGTGAATCGCTACTTTCGCACAGCACCGATCTTAGAGCGCCTTAAGAATTTTCCTGTAGTGCTTGTGTTATGTCCTAACACAGTGCATTTCTTTAATGTCCCACCCTTTTATTTTTTGTACGGGTCAACTCAAAAAATTGGAATTTGCGATAATGAAATTAATGCATGAATACTTCCTTTTGAGGTGAAATTGACAGATGAAATTTTCAAGATGGCGACTGGGCGCCATCTGGAAAAAAAATTAAATGAAAAGGGGGTTCTTGTGACACATCATTTTGAAGCTACTGACGAATTTTTCACAACCCTACAATATAAAGTCAATATCTTCACCTAGTACAAAATGGCGGAACATTTAATAGTTTCCTGAAAACAAACACATTAATATCGATATTTCTAGAAAATATTCCTCTTCATCTGCCATATGGCAATTCCAACAACCCGATAAGGTTTTTTATGTTATTTTTTGTCAGTACGGCAATCATTTTTCAGTTAGAATATTCTCATTTAGTTTTCGGTGTTACTAGTAGAAAGGTACCGCGTCAATAATCTCTAAAATGATCAATTATCGTCCATTGGAAGAAAAAATTGAAGCGATTTTCATTTACGGTGCGACGCGTAACTTTCACGAGATCGAAAGGATTTTCACTGAACGTTTTCCGAATCGTCCTATCTAGGAAATATTTGGGGTAACTTGTATCCGAACTGACAACTACTGGTAGTGTACATAACAATAAGCCCCCAGGTCATCCGTCCATTCCGGAAGTACAGCAAGTGCAAATAATTGGTGAGATGGTAGTAAATCCTGAACAGTCTACTTATTCCGTCGCGAATGTTTGTGAGGTGTCTCCTTCTACTGTGTGGAGACTTTTGAAGAGGAATATGTCAAAAATGTTAGAGCGCGCGATGAAGAGGCAGTTATCAGAACATCTTTCAGAATTCAATATACTGCCACCTGTTCAATCGGGGTTCAGAAAAGGGTACAGTTGCACAACCGCTCTTCTGCACGTTGTTGATGATATCATAAGAGCAACCGACCAAGGACGGGTACAGCTATTCGCATTAGAAAATTATTTGAGAAATAGATTCCAGAAAGTCTTTATTGACGACATAGAGTCTAACTATCTTCCACTCACATCTGGAGTACCACAAGGCTCAAAATTAGGTCCTGTGCTGTTTGCTCTTTACTCTGGTAATCTTCTCAGAAGTATTCGGCAATGCAACATTTATTGTTATGCGGATGATACCCAAATTTATTAAAATTTTCCGCCTCAAAAAACGAATGACGCATGCGAGATAATCAATAGGGAACTCGGCATATTCGTTAAAAATGCTAGTAGATATCAGTAGATATCAAAATTTATAATGAAAATATCGAAATTGTAGACGAAACCAAGGTTCTAGGAGTATTATTGGATTTCAACCTGAGGTTTGAAAAACATGTAAATGCGTTAGTGCAAAGAGCATACTCATCCTTACGAGTTATATATGGTGTACGTCAATGTCTTCCTATTAGGTTGAAATCCTTACTCTGCGAGACCTTGGTTTTATCTAATTTCAATTATGCGAACTCCGTATATGGACCAAATTTAACCAGCCAATATAAACAAAAAATTTAGAAGGTACAAAATTCTTGCCTTCGGTTAATATATGTTTTTTTTCCCAGATGAAGCCCAGTCGCCATCTTGAAAGTTTCATCTGTCAATTTCATATCAAAATAAAGAATAAATGCATTAATTTCATTATCCCAAATTTCAATTTTTCCCGTTCAAAAATTAAAGTGGGGGGGGACATTAAACACTGTATATTAATTTAGCCTTGTCGAAAAGAGTTATGTTTTTATGTTATCCACTAATTGGTGAGGATTATTTATACTGAATCGTGTTTTGAAATTAGTGTAGGATTGAATTCATTTCATGACCATTTTCGAAATTTTCACAACACAGGTCTGATTGGGAAATTAGTTTTGAGTGATTTGATGAGAGAATGAAGTTCAGGTGGTTTTCTTTCAAGTGGAGATCTCACATTGAAGTGTGTTTTTTGAATACGTTTCTAGATCGAGGTCATCTATAAATAAAATTCAATCGCGTCGTATATCATACTCAAGTGTCAGTAGAAGAATCTTGAAAATTTTGGCAAACATATTGTTCAAGGTTTTTTGATAAGCTAACCATTTGATGTAAAAATTTTCAATAATTCAAATAACTCATTTCTTAAATAGATTGAGCGTAACTAAATATATCCAGTGGAAAAAAAACAAAATTCTAATTTGAATAAACAAACACCCTTATTCGATATCGAACAAGAGGTTATCATTATCATGTTTTCTTGAATTTTTGTTGTTAAAATATTGAATCATGTTTCAGGAAGGCAGAACCCTTCGATGGGGTGATTGCTTGCCACGAGGCCGTATCAGCAATTATGGTTTTACCTGTTAACTTTCCGCGAGTCATTTGATTCGACTTCCGGTCGCACGGTGCGATACCGGACACGGGGACAGACACGTGTCTTTTTACTTTCCGACGATGACATTTATTAGACGTCCGCGTAGAGTCGCGAACTCGTGTAAACAACTACCTTGATTTTGGATCGACTGTTTCGAACTGGTTGTGTAATGAAGATTTCTTTTACTCCTTACTGTTTTTTGGGCATAAAACCTTCCACAATCTGAAATTCGAATGATTCGAAAATAAATTGCAATTCCACATTGCCACTTTTTCCCTGGTACATGATGATGTTTTCAAATTTATTTTTTCTTATGGGCGCTACATTGGATTCTTTCTGTTCTGTTGTGGAATTGGCCGCGGTGGTAGTGCGCCCGACTCACGATCGAAAGATCGTGGGTT